AAGAGTTATAATCAAATATCTTGGTATTTGATAAGACACTCTGACTTCATTTTCCATCAAGAGAAAACCCATGGTAGGAAATTCGTAAAAGGGAACCTATTTTTTAATCATTTGAGATTTAACTATAATTTTGCTTGATAAAGTTTTGGAGCTAGCAACCAGTGAAGGATTGAAAATAAATTTTGGGAAGCAAAGTTTCTGTTTTAGATAAAAGTTTTAAAAAAATCTGAGCTTGCTGAAATTGCATTAAAATCTTGCCTCCTGTATCTGTTGAAACAAGTTTTTGTGTTGTGAGTGCTCTTAAAACAACACACAGAAGTACTTTAAATGTACATTATCTGTGGTGAGTAGCTTTGTCGACAGTCCAGCCGGGATTAGATAAATTAATAAGGGTGTTAGTTGGCTTGCGAGATAGCCCCTGTGGGCTCTGCTCCTGATGTTTAGGCTTGCATGGCCCTGGGCTGATCTGCATGACCAGCAGAACCCGGCAGAGGTGGGCAGCAGCAGACTCTGCAGAGCCCGTTGTCTTGTTCCAAGGTGGGCCTCAGCGACTCTGCAGGGCTGGTCTTGTCTGCTTCATCCCGTTCTTGGGAAGCGGCTGCTGTGTGGTGAGCAGTTCCCAGGAGGACGCCACAGAGCCAGGAGCTGAGGTCTTTTCTCTCCTGTCTCATGAATGGGATTAAAAGATTCTCCAACCCCATGGAGCCTTCAAATGACTATATCCCCAAACAACTTCTTGATTAAAAGTTTATGAGAAACCCTGAATCATAACTACCCAGCTAAGTTACTACTGAATTTTTGACCAGCAGAAACTTTGAGGTAATAAATGTGTGTTGTTTTAAGCCGCTAAGTTTTGGGATAATTTTTTATTCAGTAATAAATGATACAGTTAGCAAGAAACAAATTTGTTACATTAGAAACTTTAAATATTAACCTGTGTTGTTAGTCTAGAATGTATGAATTAGATTGCTGTTACGTGCATAAGTTTTGGTTAAACTAGAATTATGAAATGGCAAAAGTTACGTATATATACTTTCAATGAAAAGTTTGTAACTTTATGTAATTTTTTTCTTCTTTTCTATTCTAATTGCATTTATAATTTTATGGGTCTGAAACTAACAAAACACATTGACTTGTAGTTTTTGTGATCTTTTTTCCTTTAACTTTCTTAGCAGTTCATTTTATTAAAAAAAATATTAATTGGAATATTTAAAAGAGAAAAAGGAAGGTGGCTTTTCACCACAGGGAGTCTACGAGATCTATCCTGTCCCAGTGTCCTTCACTGACCTTACTTGACGATCATCTTGCTTTATTATAATTGGTTATATTCCCTGTTAAACTAAAGGCATTGTGCAGGGTAGAGTCCTTGACTGTGTTTACCATTATATCTTTGGTGTCCAGACCAATGTCCAGTACTTAGGAGCTGCTCAGTAGGTATTGGTCGAAAGGATTAATATTCCTTTTACATTTTTTTCATGGTCTTAGAATGATGATTAACTTCTGTAGTTGTAAACAAGTTGCTCCTTGTAGCCTTATGTCCTTGGGAATGTTAACTGCTTAGGCTGCACAGAAAATATTCTTGGCATTTTTATTGCTAAGTACTAGGGATTTTATAAAGTATGTGTTTTTATTTCTACAGCACAGCCACTGCCTCTGAAGAAGATATCTCAAGTAGATACCCCCGAACAGAGAGGAGCGGGTTCACTAGATATAACAGGGATGCAAATGTGTCAGGTACTTTGGCCTCAAGTAGTACATTGGAAAAGAAAATTGAAGATCTTGAAAAGGTATGAATTCTTAATTATTTAAGACTGACAAAATCAATATATAGTTAGGATTTTTTTCCAGTTTCATAGCAGCGGAGTAAGAGAGGAAATAAATTGAAAATTTGTAGGGGGAGAGTACCAAAAAATGGAAAAGAATGAGGATCACTAATGGGAAATAATGTTGGTATTAATCAGTATTTCCATATATAGTCAAATGGCTTTCATGCATTGTCTCAGGAAGTGTATAGTTTTTGTGTACACTGTGGCTAAGCATTTTTTATTTCCTTAATATTTTCTGATTTAATTTTGTTGATATTAAAATGTTAGAGATGAAGCCAATTCTTGTGTTTCTTAATATTTAATGTATACTTCTATTCCATCACATGTTATCTTTTAATATATCAAACATAGTCTTTGTCTTTGAAGTAGTTAGAAGTCAAAGCTGGCAACAGAGAATGCTGTGTATTTATTACATTGTCTGAGCAGGTTGTCATTTGTAACTTCACAAATTATAAGAGTAACTCTAAAGTTAGGTCCGTCTTAAGTGTTTGAATCAGTTCTGTGTAGGAATAAGCCTGCTTACAGGTGTCTCTCAGAATAACTCAGGTGAATACTGGCTTGTGTTTATTAAGCACTCATGTTTGTTCCACACATGTTCAACCCCTGAACTTCGTAAGCTGAGTTTCTTTCTGATTGTTGAAATATGTTTTGTTTTACTGAACTAAAATCATTCCCTGTGGTATAAGGCTTTAACTTATATATGTGCTGTAAAGAGCTTTAATTTTAAACATTTGATTCTACTTTATGACACGAAGATTATTTTGAAGTCACATAAAGCTTTAACACTCGTTTCTACTTGGAATCATTATTTTTATAGGTTTAAATTTAAAATTTAGAAAATACATAGTCTATTAATTTTCAAGAGAGTTCTTCAGAAAGGTTTCTAGAGCTACCCAGGAGTGTGGATTGAGCTGCAGTAGTTGGCGGCCGCTGACTGCTGTGGAAGGCTGGCAGCTTTCTCCGACGGTGTGGAGCAGAGGAGGCGCGTTCTGGGCAAGACCTTGTCAGCTCTGCATTTTGCTCCCAAGGTGGTTGTCTCAGGCCAAGGTCCTGGATTCTAAATAAGATCTCTTTGAAAGAGGAGTTGAACTATTTAAAGAAAAATAGTTTAAAAATCACTTATCTATTTCATTCCTTCATTTTATTCATTGTCAGCTAACTGGCAGAACCAGAAGTCAATTTGAGAACCAGTAATTTTATATTTAGAGTTTCTGTTGGGCCATTCCTTTTGTTAAATTTTGTATTTTAACAAAAAATTTGAATTCCCTCAAATAAGATATTATTCATATAAAAATAAGGTAGTTCGTAATTATCTTAATAGTGGTAATAAGCTAAAGAAGGTAAGTCATGGAGTTTGATACTGTTTGTGAGAGATTTGTGACAGCACGAGTTTGCAGCTCTTACATTCCCTTACTCTGTGATTCTTTTTTGTGGTAGATTCTTTATTCCTTTACCACATGTGTAAAGAAACTCATGGAAATCTTCACATAGCTAAGATACTTTGCCACGCTTGGTAGATGTGTACCATTTAAGAAGATGATAAGCAACCAGTTACTTCACGATTAACGCTTTGTGATTATGTCTACCAGGAAGTCATCAGAGAAAGGCAAGAAAACCTGAGACTTCTGAGACTGATGCAAGATAAGGAGGAAATGATTGGAAAACTCAAAGAAGAGATCGACTTGTTAAACAGAGTAAGTACTTCCCCTAATTTCAGTTTCAAATTTTCCTCTTTTTTGACAGTTGGATGAAAATATGCAAATATGAAGAAACTGTTTCACTCCGTTATTCATTTTGTTCTTTTGTTAATGAGATAGTAATTTGTAGTAAGTAAAGAACCATCATTGCAGTCCATAAATTCATTTCCCCTGGGAAATTATCAGTGTTATTCCCTGAATTGTATTCTTTCGGGGATAGACTGCTGAATGGCTTGCGCTGTGTTTTCTTTGAGTTTGAAGGTGAGAGGAGGTTGGGTCACTCCATTATGTAAAGGGTGCACTGGCACAGGGTGGCCTCAGGAGAGCTAACATTGGTCCCTGTCACTGTAAGGAACTCCAGATGTCTTTGTGTGTATTTTCACCACTTTTTCCTCTGGTTATACTTAATGCATCCCTAGCTTTAGTTTTAAAAGTTGTCTACACCAGTATTTGACTTTAGGTACTTGACTATTCTGCCTCAGTGTAGTCCAGTCTTTGTGGACTGTCTTTCTTCTTGATTTGAACCTCTATGGGTGCTAGAATTTAACTTAAGAAATTCTGCAAATATTTTTGATGTCCATGATGTATTTGAACTGTCTTAGGCACTATGGACATTTAAAAAAAAAAATCCCTTGCCCTTACAGTTTATGATCTAATAATGATATAAGAATGTATAATTCTTTAATTTTTAATTCCAAATCTTAAGTAGATCTCAGTTGTCCTAATTTTAGGAATCCCATATTTTGTTGTTGTTTTTAGTTTGTAAATGAATGCAGATTCTGATAGTAAATTTTAAAATCATTTATCTAATTGTCCAAAGATAGTATACTAAATTTATCAGAATGCTACCATACTATAGCAATAAGTTAAATTGGTTGTATCAAGTTTTAATATTTTAAACTATAAGGATAAATCTATGAATATCTGCTTTTCTAACATTTGATCAATAGTTGGCCTTGAATTATTCTTACAACTAAAACTTTTTAGGAGTTGTTTTTAACCAGATGGTTATATATTTGGGGCTAAGGGAACATAGAACTGGATGATATACTTTTAAAGCAAGAGGGAGTGACTACCTTGCTTCAGTGGCTTTCAGTTATTTTTTAGCTCTAAAACCTTTCCCTCAAAATGTCTTAAAGAAGTCCAGCACACTAATGGAACTGATCAACTGTGTATGCCCAGATCCCCTTTCTGTGTTCCCACCCCTAGTCTCATCCCCAAATGTGTGCATTTATGCACAAAGCTGTAGGGATACATCCAGAACTTGTTTGTGTGCCCAATTTGATACAAGGTTGCAGCCTGGTACCCTATACCATGTGTGTCCAGCATATGTGTTTTCTTCAGCCCTCCATTTTAGGGTGGGGGAGTGGAGTGGTTTTTACTAAAAAAATTTATTTATAATGATTAAAAATGGAAAGATTTATAATTTATGAATTCTGACTTTTGCCTCTTTTTGAAAATCTGAAAGTTCTGTTAAGAGTCAGCCTCTATATTTGTGGTGAGAATGAGGTCAAGAGTTGCTTTAGGTGGCATAATTCTATGTTAAGTTATTTTCAGGCTTGGCGCCTGTAGCTTAGCAGCTAGGGCCCTAGCCACATACACTAGAGCTGGCGGGTTCAAACCCAGCCTGGGCCTACCAAACAATAACAACTAAACAAACAAAAAAAAATAGCTAGACGCCTGTAGTCCCAGGTACTTGGGAAGCTGAGGCAAGATAATCACTAAAGCCCAGGAGTTTGAGGTTGCTGTGAGTTGTGACAGCACTGGACTCTACTCTGTCTCAGAAAAAAAAAAAAGATATTTTTAGAACTTCCCCTCATTTCAGAATTAATTAGTAATATGAATTATCTTTGAATATGTATTTTTAAAAGTGTTTTAATCTCCCTTGTAAAGTCTTTAAGTATTTTTAAAGTATTCTTCTTCTTTTTCCCAAAGGACCTAGATGACATAGAAGATGAGAATGAGCAGTTAAAGCAGGAAAATAAAACTCTTTTGAAAGTTGTTGGGCAGCTGACAAGGTAGAAGATTCAAGGCTCAGTGCGGAATAAATATTTTAAAACTACTGATTGAATGTCACGGTCAAAGCTAGGACGGTATTCCTATGCTGCAATACATTAAAATAACTATGTATATTTATTTCTAGAAAACAGATGGATGTTTATTTTCAAAATGTCTTTTTCATTATTGGTTTCAAAAAACTATCAACCCTTTTTATTTTACAAATAAGTAACATCTTTCAGCTATTAAAATAATAGGTAATACCTTTTTGGTTTTGTGTGGTATTCAAATAACGCATGATTTAAAGTCACAACCCTTTGAGTGTTTTAGCACATTCTCTCCCTGAAGGACATACATAGTCTTTGTTTACATGAATTCAATACTGTTGGGGAGTTACCTGTAAATGCCTTATCACCTATGTGCGCAGCCTCTTATATGTTGATGGCTTTCTCATAAAGGTTTTTGTCTACTGTCATTTGTTCTTTCCACTTATTCTAAGCAATTTAGAGTAATCATCGTACTATTTTGTATAACAGTAATCGTTTAAGAGAAAAGCTATTTTAAAAGTTGCTTACTATCATGTTCTTGTTGGCTAAACATAAATTTAAAATACTTGAATTATGCTATAGTAAATGAAAATTTACTGTTTTGTGTTTGAATATTAAAAAATTTTTAAATCACTTTTACTTCTGAAAAACATACAATTGTAATTTTAATGTAAAATTTCTTATGTAGGTATTGTTTTTTTCTCTCTCTCTTTTTTTTTCTCGTTCCCAGGTTTATTAGTGAACATGGGATATTTAAAAATTTATTCATTGGGCCTGGAAATGTGTACAGTTTCAATACATAAGAAAAAAAATCCCTATTTTGATGATATTATCACATGCATTAAAATCAAAACTAAAATACTTATCCACAGTTAAAACATGTACACATATATTAACAAAACAGTATGTAAGCAGAAATAATACTAAAAGATTTTGCCTAATTACTAAGTTGGAGAATATTGCTGTGATAGTTTTTCACATGAGAGAATATTCCCCCTTTTCAAATTTAAGGGATTTTCTTCCTAAAATTGAAAAATTTCAAACAATTATTTATAAATAATTCATACAAATTTGTTCTTGTATTAAATATGATTAGTATTTAGGGTTGTTTGACATTACATTTTTATCTTAAGTTAGAACCCCGCCTGCCCCCCAAACACAAACTAGGCGTGATGAAGCGTTTGCCTAATAGCAGAATCTCAAGCAGCATCACTAATGTCCTTTTACCCAGTTAAGGTATGAAAGTGGCCTGAGCATAGTAAAATCCATTTGTGGTGTGCTGCTGACTTTTTTCTTCACTTGCCAAATCCTTTTATGATTCACTATTAGAAAAATAGAGAGGGTGAGACAGTTGGGAAAAAAACACAGAGTAAATGACAAATACCAGATAGAGAACTGTAAACATCTCCGGCCTCAGTAGGTTAGCTTTTACCCTCCTCCCCGTTCAGAAGTTTCAAGCTTGGCTGATCATCAGACTGTCTTGAGGAAGTTAAAAAGAATTCCTTTGCTAGAGCTCCTAGATAGGTTTAGATTGAGACCCTAGACTCAAGAATTTTTAAAGCTCATCATCTCATGGTTCTGATCATAGCTAGTTATAGAAACACCTGCTATTGCATCTTTATTCTCAGAAGTATCTTCATTGAAAACTCAGAACTGACGTAATTTGACCTATCAGCTTTTTTGTCCTTTTAGTTTATTTAATAATTTTTCTGGTCTTTGGAGCAGTTTTCATGTATGCATAAGCCTGTGTATACATATGTGTATATATATCCACTATTCACAAAAGTTCAATGTTAGATTTCCAAATTTGATACAGTTGCAGAATTACTGCAGACGGGGCCTCCTCCTTGGAGACCTTGGCTCTGCCTGGGAAGAACAGTGGTGTGCTGTGGGCAAGTCTAGGCTGTGTGTGGGTCCCAGTCACCGCCTTGGTGGGGAGGTACTCCTCGCTCTTTGTTTATCCCTAAATACATGGCAAAAATATGCCCATTGCTTAGGTCTCCATCCATACCTGGGATGTTGTGAAATGCTATCAGTATCCAACCGTAGGATATATTAGTATGTTGTTTTTTAATTAAAAGAATTAATTTGAATTTTCTGCTAAATACATGGATAAAAGAACATTTCACTTTAAAATTATATTGGGTATTAATGCTTTTCAAGACTGAGAGATTTAAATTTTTTTTGCCGTTTATTGGGAGCATTTCCAGCAATGATTTGCTTTTTTAACGTAATGATACCAAATGCAAACACGGGAGCCTTACAGTTTAGGGAAAGCATTTCACACACAGTCCTTCCCCATCTCCTTAAAAGATGTATTTATTTCACAAACAAATTTTTACACCAACTACTGAAAAATAAAGTAGAATCTGTTACAGCTTATTGTTAAAATTTGTAAAAAGTGTCGAGATTCTAAAAAGGTAGCTGAGCACATATGTACTACTCTAGAAAACTCGGCTATTGTCAATAAGGTACAAGTATTTGTAAAATTATTAGTCTTTTTCAGAAATATCCTTTCTTCTATCCCCTGGGAATGTATGGTATAATAAAGCACATCCAAAGTTGTAATGTGTTTATGAGATCATTTTCAAAACAGTAAGTTTATTATCTTTAAAATGAAAGATAAGAAAGACTTGACTCCTTGATTTCTGAAATGCATTAACTTGAAAGTTACTTTAGTAATTCTTACTTCATCTTTCTGGAATTGTTGGTAATTTTATCACATGACAGTTGCCATTGAAGGGAAAGGTTTTGGGGTACCTATTTCTAAGTAGTCTAAGGGATTAACTAACTTGAGCAGATTAGCACTGGCACACTTGTTTAGTTCCAAACATAGAAAATTAAGTATCTGGGGCAGGTACAGGAAGCCGTGTAGTCTTTTTTTCTT